AAGAAGGTGGAGATCCGTTGTCTTCGAGTTGTAGCCTACACAACATTTAGATGGCTCCTAACCGTGTACCATTAAATTTAACATGGCAAACTCATGACCACAAAGAAACTAGAAGACAAACACGCTCTGTCAGTGTCTTAGATTAGAACACCAACTGACGACCTTTGATCACAAGTGTCTGCACCCATTTAAAGACCGTTATAAGTACAGTAACGATGATAGACTTCTCTAGACATTGTCTACGGGCAGATTGGTATCGAATAGTACTTAAGTATTATGGTTCGGCACAGTGTGTATGATGTCGCTTAGAAAATTTCTTATGTATTGTACGATCTAGTCCGTGCAGAACAGAGGAATGCACGAGTAAGCCACCTACCAGTAAGATATATATGTCTTAAAATACGTAGGATTTAACGGTATCATGGAAAGCGTCAGCACAGTTCGGGAATTTTTGAGTGTAGTGTAGTGTACAAAGTCGTAACGCGTTACGAAAATAAATTCTCAAACCTGAACTGACTGCAATACTGGTCAGTACTAACTGCTTGTGATCGACTTTTTGAACACAGCCCTGTATATGAGCATAAAATCAGACCCAGGTAAAGAATGTCGCTTACCCCTGCACCTGTGATCTCGCTGCACCATATTGTGCTGATTGATGCCCGATGATCGAGGAGGATACTGTTGGCGCGCCTGGCCAGGTTCTTGGCCGCTTCCGTCTCACCAAGGAACCAGAGTTCCTCGGTCAGTACTTGCACGTCAGCTAGAAGGGAGAGTTTGATTTCATTCAATGGTGTTGACAGTATTTTCAACAAGGCTGCGCACTGACGGCTGGCGCTCAAAATCAAAGACATTCGACACGTAACACCCTCCTGCGCAAATTATTCACCAATTGAAAATTTGCACCATGGTCTGTGCACCAAACAGCGTCTTCTGTCTTTAGGTCATCAACACAGTAGTCTGGCCATGCCAACCGAAATTCGGTAAAGCACTTTTTATTCGAATAAAATTAATTAAGTAGGGCTCTTATTATTAACTGTCAGGGCAAGATTCATCATAAAGACCCCAAAAATCCCGTCGGCTTACAATGAAAAACAACTTTCAAATGTTCGGTAGCTTGACTTTAAATTGTTTCGTTAAATTCAGTCTACATAAAGTTGAATTTCCCTCCATTAGCATTCGTATTCTGCGCAATAGGAGTTTATGTTGATTGAATTTCATTCTATTCATTCACTCATTCTATTTAGCATATTAAAACAAACATAATCTTATTTAATTTAATACTTTTCGATCAATTCCGCCACAATTACATATTGATTTACGCTCACTAGCCAAGAATTGAATGGTTGACCACAAAATACTTTAAGCAGTAGTAGCTACTGTTTTCTGCTAATGTCTCTGACGATTAAGCCGCGACGGATGTTAAGACGTCAGGCGAATAAACGCATTGTCCCAGCGATCGAGTCAGTTTTGTAATGGTTCGCCTTCCAGCAAATGCATAAAGTAGGAGGACCTCCGTAAGGCAACATGGCAGCAGCAAAAACCGTGCGTAGAAACACAAGATGGTGTGACAAACTTTGAGCAAAAAGCAGTCTACTTACCCGCAAGCTGTTGCATGGATTCTATAGACTTGTAGAGCGAGTGTATGAGTCCAACCTCCTCGAAACGACTGCCCGGCTTCGCGCTCCACTTCTTTTTCTCACTCTTTCGACGGCTTTTCTGTGATCTACTGTAAGGTCAAGAATAGACGCACTCGATTTGTGAAACAGTGATAATGGAAAGGGAACCTCGCGAACGTCCTTAAACAATGAAAGACTAGTTAATTACTCCATTAAAGCTTGCTTCAAAGGCGGGGTTGGTGATCACATCTCAAAATCCGTGAATAGTGCATCGATTAAGTGATATCCCTAGGAGTGTCCATTGGGGGAGCGGGCAGTTTTGATCATAGAACAAAAGTAGTAGTCAAATAGGCAGAGAGAAGAAATACACAATAAAAAGATCAAATTATTGACCTTAATCCAGAACTAGCCGGACAAAACTTCCAAACATCACAATATCAAACATGATCGAAATATTGCTGACGTGTTAAGAGTTAACTGGATCGTTTTTATTTATAAGGGGCAGTGACCCCATTCCGCATATAATGCCCGATCGTTCGCCGCTTGCGACTGGTAGCACGTACGCGCCAGTGTTTGCTGACCCCAGTACGGTAGAGCCAATCACCGAGGCTGACTCATACAGGAACTCACTGTGACGACTGCCACGCTCTCACGCC